CGTTAATAATATATCGAAGAACGCTTATTAAGATCTAATTCTAGACTAAAGATAGTATAAGACTAAATAATCTAATAATAATAGTATTCTCTATAAATAACTTATAGAAACTAGAGCGTAGACTAGATCTCGACCCTTAGCTATATATTATTAGAATATCCTACGAAGCGCTCTAGATATATTAAAAAAACCTAAAAATAACTAATAAATTATAGTAAATCGCCTTATATAGTAGATATAGAAGAACCTCGCTTACGCTCCTCTACTTATTATATCGTACTAGAAGATTTATTTATAAAATAGACTATTTATAGAGTATCGTCTACTACCGTAGTAGTATAAGAAAATAGTAATACTTTACGACTCTCTTATTATAATATTATCGAAGCTAGTCCTAGTAGTAGTACTTCTATTAACGCCGTCGTTTTATAGTAAGAATACCCTAAAAGGCCTAAACTAGAAGTAGGGCTTAATTACTATATATAGATAGATAGCGGACGAATATTATATATAGAATAAGTAGAAGTAGTAGACTATTTATACGCTAAATAATAAAAAGATAGATATTCTAGTATTAAGTAAGTCGATATATAGCCTTATATAAACTATATCGATAAATCTATAGAAGACGAGACTAATACGAATTATTACTATATTATAATCTAACTACGCTTAGAATCGTATACTAGCTCGGGAGGTATAGATATATATTATATAGCCTCTTTAGTATAATAATATATTTCCGATATACGCCTAGATAAACTTTATATCTATAATAATAACTTAAAAGAAGAATCGATAGTATACTAATAATATCTTAATAGTAGCTTATTAGCTATATAGTCGTATTCTTCCGACTTCGGACTAGTCTCGACGACTTCTATTTCTACTAAAGATATAGATATTATAAAATAATAACTTTATTAAGTTAATATTAGTAGAGAATATTACTCTATATATATATTAGATTTACCGATTCTACGAATAACTTTAATAGTTTTCGGTATATAATATAGATCTAAAGTCTACTATATTATCTCCTAGATAGCGATTAATACCTTTTAATATCGATCTTCTATATCTATCTATAGCGATAATACAAAGTCGAATCTATTCTCTAGATCTTTAATCTTAATAGCTATATAACTACTTATCTCTCTAGCCTCGTCGGCTATATATAGACTACTTATTCTCTCGCTAAAATATATCTCTCTTATATCTTCTACTAGATCTTCTTTCTATATTTTAGGAGATTAAGTATAATATTTCTTAGTACTATATATTTAAATAGACGTTAATATTAATATAATAGACCGACGATAATTAGAAGCTTCGCTACTTATATCTCGATTACTAGATAAAGAATAATTAATTTCGCGAATAGTATAGATTATATATTTTCCGCTAAAAAGGTATATCGAATTCGTAAAAATAGATATATTAGAGATAGATATCGAAATATACTTTAGGAATATCGACTCTTAATATAAATCTAGTTTAACTATATAAAGATATATTTCGTAACGTAGATTATTTATAATATCTACTATATACTCTATAAGAGTATTCCTAACGTATATATTAGTAATATCTCTCTAATCGTAAAATTTAACGGGTCTTCGCGAAATATAGCTATATAGCTAAATCGATAAGCTATTATTAGGAAAAAAGAACTACTTTTAATACTATTTCGCCTAGATAATAGAATTAATTACTATATCGCTAGACTTAATATTATAAATATTATTATTAATCTAGAAACGAATTAGTAACTATATCTTTCGATATAATACGATATACTTATAAAAGAAGCTATCTTCGCCGTCTTAGTTACTAATAGATCTTTAATTATCTTCTTAACTCGTTAATAGTATTAAGTATTTAGAATTTATAGTCTAGTCGATATTCTAACTTATTTAGATAATATATTAACTATAATAATAGTTATAGAAGATTTAGCTTTAATCGATAAAGAACTTAAAGCTTAGAAATATAAATAACTAGAAAGAGATATAAAAGGAAGTAAGAAGAAAGAAAGTAAGAAGAAAAGAAGTAAGAAACGTCTACTTATACTTCTTAAAATCCCGCCGGATTAATTCCGAATTAGCTTCGAAGAGTAATAGCGAGTATTATTACGCGTATAGACTCTCTTTACTTACCGTCTTAATAATCTTAATTTATTCTTAATTTATTTAGCTTTACTATTTCGGACGTATATACTACTTTTATAGTTAAAGATAAGAGATATATATTTACTTTATATATCTTAATCGATATCGAAGATATAGATACTATAAATATTTATTCTAACGATAAGACTATCTAGAAAATAAAGTATTTAGAATATAGAAATACTATTTTATTCTCTACTATAAGACTAATAAAGATACTTAACGTTCTTCGACGACGAATAAGACTATTTAACGGTTTAGATAGAGGAGAATATAATAAAATAGATACTCTACGTACTAAGTATTATAAAGACGTCGAGGATCGTCTTTCGGTCTCGACTAGCGTCGTACGCTATCGTATAACCTCTAGAAAGTATATAGTCTGACGAGGCCCTAGGCCCCGTTGAAATAGGACAAGTCCTCCGTGAAAATCACAAAGATCCACCGATGATCCAAACCATGCATTGGCAGACAGTTGAGCCTTTCGACAGTCTTGCATTTGTTACAATGTGATATCAACCTGCGCAGTCTCTCTTTTATTATATACCCGCCCACAAGTTGGGGACGACGCTCCCATGGCGGCTCTACTACCTCGACAGAGCCGCTTCATCTGCCGGTCGTGTCAGAGAGTCCTCGCATCGAGTTCGAACCGGCGACAGTTCGTCTCACGGACAACCATCGCCGCGAAGCAAGAAGTGTCGCCGAAGTCCCGCAGACATGTTTCCCTCCTCACGAGGATCAGGAACGCTCCTGTCACGGATGCAGCATCATCTCATGACACGTCTCCATCACAATCGCAACAAATCCAGCAGTCACAGACCGCTAGGGCTCCCTCAGAAGTATCTCTCAAAACATTCAACCCGGCGGCAGGACTCAAGAAGCTCAAAGACGACATCACCCGTCTTACGTCGCAAGATGTTGCGGCATCGCGCGAAGAGGTTATGGCCATCCTACTGGGAAGTTACGAATATGCAAACTGCATTGTGTTCGGGACGAGCAAGGGACCCAAGGAGGGAGTAGAAAAGTCGGGAGAAGATCTGTCGCAGGCCGTGCTTCGAGATTTGGCCGAAGATACTTCCAAGGAATCATCAGACGACGCTCCAGCGTTTGTTCCAGATCGGGAAATGTCGGCGCCCTTTCGACAAAATGCTGCAGGCACGATTGCCGAGCTGACCTATACACTACTTCGCGACCCCAAGGTTTACATCTCCGAGGATATGCTTCAAGTGTATGTCCGCATTCAGTGTATGCTGGGAAAGCCGGAGTATATTCCAGAGATTTTCCATCTGTTCGCACACAAGAAGATTCCGAACCCGAAGACCAAGCCAGTGAGATACTCGGACCCCTGGCCGAAGCTGCCCAAGTATGCTGTGCCGCTCGAGCTGGCCGAGGCTGCTTTGGAGTCGGCCATCCTGAAGAAAAACCTGCCTCTTGCACTGGCCATCATTGACACCACGGTGGCAACTAAGGCTTTTCATGCAAACAAGATTCTGCGTCGTGCCTCCTTTCCAATTATGTTCGTGGGCGGAACTCCCATCATCGCGTACGCAGGGGCAAATTGGGTGTCGCATTGGCAGAACACCATGGACGTCGAGATGGCCAAGTACACGGCCATTGCTGGAGCGTTGGCTTATATCGGAACATTGACGACGATCGGTTTCGTCGCCGTCACTACCGCCAATGACCAGATGGTGCGTGTGGTTTGGCGGCCTGGGACCGGCCTTGCCGAACGGTGGGTCAGGGAGGAAGAACGGGCCTTCTTCGATAAACTCGCTCTGGCTTGGGGTTTCCAAGAGAAGAAGCGTTGGGGCGAGGAAGAAGGGGAGGATTGGCAGCGGCTCAGGGATGAATGTGGTATGAGGGATATGATTCTTGACAAGACGGACCTCATGGAGGGTATGCAATGAGAGCAGCGGTGTACAAAATCTTGTAAGAATGATAATGACTACAACAAAGACGGCTTTACGGTCGTTGAATCACGGCTTTTCATTTCGCAGCTATGGAGATTTGTTCGTGCCATAGACCTTGCAAGGCAAAGAGGCACTAATTTTCATCCGACAGAGTGCAGGTTGCTAAATCCACACTACAAGACGACCAGGCCAAAGAGATATGTAATCTAATACAATCGCTTGGGAGGAGACATGGTGGCCTTGATGGTCAAGCTGCCGACGTTCTGCCAGCCCTTCTTCAACAAACTGACGAGGTAGTTGATGGCCAACATGATGTTGGAGATCAACTCGTCCTCGGTCATGCCCACGTTACCGACGGCGACACCCATGCACAGAACCTTCTTCAGCTGGAACTTGATGGTCGACTTGACCTCAGTGACCTTGGCGGAGAGATCTTCGTTGTGGGAGATTGGGGTGGGGAACTTGCCGGCCTTGGACAGACCAGGACCCAAGAGACGAGGGATCTGCTTAATCAAGCTGTCGGAGGCGATGAAGGCATCGTACTTGCGGGCCAGCTTCTTGATCAGCTTCTTGTTCTTGTTCAGCTTCTTCAAATCCTCAGAGGACATGGCGTCGACACCGAAGTGCTTCGCTCGGTCGATATCGTGCTGGTCACCAAGAACACTGTAGAAAATTTGTCAGCAACTCTTTTCTTTTTCTGTTTCACTTCTCCTCCGTCCAATCCAGGGCGCCATTTAGACATTCACAACCAAGGGGCGCATTGCGGGGTGGCGTACCAGATAGCCATGTTCGGTCGGGGAACGGTGGGCAGCTTGATGGTGCCGGAGAAACGCTTGTCACGCTGAGGGTCATAGTTCTTCAAGCCGATTTGGAGTTCAACGGTCTCGAGGAAGTTTCGCTTCTTCTCGTTGAGAGAGTAGTCGAGAAGTTGTTGCACGTTCGTGCGCACGCCGGCTGTGAGGAAATTGTCAACACTCCCCGCTCAACCAAATCAGCAAATATTGAAAAAAACTAACCGACTGTGATTTTCGACATGGTGAGGACAGTCTTCCAGAAGAATTGATCAAATTCTTATGGTGAGGCACTGCGCAAGAAACGGTGGTTGTTGGAATAAAGAGACTGCGACTCGTGAGGCTTCAATGTGCAAATGAAAATCAAATGTGAAGTGCCAAGACTTTGACGAGCCAACGCCCTAGTTGGTTTAGCGCATTTCCCTGTGTACTTTGGCCGCCCTCAATGTCACCACTGTACATTACCTGGTACCTTAGGCATGGGTACCTAGTAAGGTGCTTCATAGGCGAACTATGATGCAGCAATAGCAGTATATCTCAGTCTACACATTCAGATATCTTGTATTATCAGAGATGGCCGAGTTCTCAATCGTCACTCTTCCTACACCAGCACCTGACCACAATACCCTCCTGGAGTACTCCTCACGGCTTAAGGAACTCCGACTCAAAAGCCTGAAGCAAGATCCCGACAGCTTCATCTCAAACTATGCATCGGAGTGCGATAAGCCGCAAGAATTCTGGCTGGACAGACTCTCGGAATCCGGAGTGACTCATCTGGTTGTCGTCCGTAGAGATCCTAATGCCACAAAACTGGGCAACGATTCTAGCCTCCTGGATGGCCAGTGGGTAGGCTTTGCGGTCCTAACTACTCCAGACGGAGATCCATCTGAAGATATAGCCCATGACCCCCCGGAATACAACTTAATGGCGCTTTATATCGACTCTGACTTTCGTGGTCAGGGGCTCGGGAAGCGATTGGTGCAGGCATCCATAGACACGATCAGATCGCACCGTGCTGCGAATGGCAGAGCATCTGCTGCCTGCCTGATAACCGTCCGTCATGGCAATGACCAGGCGCTGGCACTGTACCAGAAGATGGGATTCAGCATCATTGAACCCAATGACCAGATCGAGAAGGATGGAAGAATCTATCCTTCAACGGTGTTAAGATTATATGTTTAGGGAAGGCTTCTCACGAATGTGGCTCCCATTCAAAATGAAGTAGACCTGTGAAGCTATCATTCTTCTTCTGCGGTGAGCCCCTTAGCGAAAGGGGCTGATAGATGTCGCACGTGCTCTGTGTGGCGTCCTGCTGGATTATTGGTTGAGACGCCCAAATCCAGACAAGAGTGACAAGAATCCTGACAGCACGCTCCGTAAGTACCTCCTTGAAATGGCGAGATATGGTAGACCGTGGCTTGTAGTCAAATACTACAGAGAAAGAAAAGACCAAAGCCCCCTGCCCCTTGAAGTGGTCAAAGCGCAACATTTTGATAGACACACATCCCACCCACGGGAAGTCCAGCCCACGCGTAACAGCAGCCCCATAGTAGTAGAGACGCGGTGTAGCAAAGATTGGGGAGTGTAGCGGACGCAGTAGGCCGCAGCATTCACTCTGCCGCCGCCATTATTATTATTATTGCACCAACAAGTTCAACTTTCTTGCTAACCGACTCGGCCAGTTTGGGCTTGGCGTCTTCGAACTGCGAGTTCATCGTTTGACTTCGTTCACCCCAGCGCCCGTCTTCCATCTGGAATCTCGCACCATTATTTCCAATTCACCACATCGACACTCTTTACTGCTCCTGCTCCAGGAATAGTGTTCTACTACCCTCCTCTGGTAAGCGGAAACCGCCTGCACCCCTGCCTAACTCAACGATTAGCGTGGTTGTCGCGAGGACAAAGTGGCCACACATGTGCCTTCGGCCTGCTGAAAGGGACAACGTTGGCTTCTACCTCATATATCGCGACGCACACGACACCCTGCGACAGGTTCCTTATTGTCACTGCCTGGCCCTCTTTCATGATTTATATTAATTGTGTGCCTTCGCTGACACTGCTGGCTCTAGACCGCCACACCCACACTCACACTCACATCCACCCTTGGCAGCTCTTCGTCAGCTCAGTCGCGAACATGGGTCTCACATTCTCGAAGCTTTTTGACAGACTATGGGGGAAGAAGGAGATGAGAATTCTGATGGTTGGTCTTGACGCGGCCGGAAAGACCACCATTCTGTACAAGCTCAAGCTCGGTGAAATTGTGTATGTTGATTAGCCTGATAAACCGCTGAAGCGCTTTGCTGACCATTCCCAGCACCACCATTCCAACAATCGGTAGGCGACGGACCTCTGTGTGCGCCTTGAACTCAAATTGACATCTGTGGCAGGCTTCAACGTTGAAACGGTCGAATACAAGAACATTCAGTTCACAGTGTGGGATGTTGGTGGTCAAGACAAGATTCGACCTCTGTGGAGGCATTACTTCCAGAACACCCAAGGTATCATCTTCGTGGTCGATTCCAACGACAGAGATCGTATTGTCGAGGCACGTGAAGAGCTCCAGCGCATGCTGAACGAGGATGAGCTGCGTGATGCGCTCCTGTTGGTCTTCGCCAACAAGCAAGACCTTCCTGTAAGTTTCGCCGAGTGGAGGTATCAAAAGCCACTTCTAATTCATCTAGAACGCCATGAATGCCGCCGAAATCACCGACAAACTTGGTCTTCACAGTCTCCGCCAACGTGCCTGGGTAGGTGCAATAACAACATGCTGGTGGAAAACAAGACAGCTAACATGTAAACAGTACATCCAATCCACTTGCGCTACCTCCGGTGACGGTCTGTACGAGGGTCTCGAATGGTTGAGCAACTCTCTCCGCAAAGCCGGCCACAACTGATTGCTTGTTGCTGTTACTTTTTGGGGAGCGCAACTGTTAGCCGTGGCTTCAATGACATAGACAGTCATTTCTCCCAATCAGATCTGTCATGTCTCTTCCGCAAGAAAAAGTTCCTGCAAGACCTGCAGTGGTGCTCAGGATTCATCGTCCAGAATACCGACACTGCAGCCAGCTTGCTCAAATTGAAAATGGCCCCATCACGCATATGAATGATCTGCCTATGTTCTGGTCTGTTACAGAGGTCTTTCACATTGGGGGAGTTCGTTCGATAGTTTTTGCGCGATTGCTGGCATGCCTTGGCTTCGGGCGGCAGAATCCGGCACTCTGCAGGACCGTGGCACAGGTCGTGAGCAGTCAATAGAATTCATTTTGCAATCCACTTGAATCCTATTCTTTGGCTTGGGTTGTATGCTGGTGCCTGGTGTGGGCTGGGGAGACTCGTATATTATTGTCATGCTCTACATGGAGTGGTAGTAGCAGCAGGCGGCAGTGTACAGGTTGAGTAACACTGTACATTGCCAGGCAAATATAATAATCTATACATGTATACCTAGTAGTTGTACAATGTACAGTAGTGGTAGTAGTCGTGGTGGCAGCGGCTGACTGTGGAGCAGCTCCTGGAAGCGGCCGAAGTGCCAGACTCGGACTCAGCCTGAGACTCACGCACTGCAACTCCGCCGCGCCGTATGACGAGTTTCGTTCCTGTTTGTCCTCACCAACCATACGTCTTGCAAATCCGTACAGTTATTTTGGTATCTTTCTCATTGCGCAACAGAATTTGAATCACGTCTGCAAATGAGCGAACTGTCTGTCGAGCAGGCTTCCTTGTCCCCTCCAATGTGCTTTTTCTGAGCGAGCCGCGAGCCTTTCTCACAGTCATCAATCACTCCATCTCGATTGCTGATCGCGCACGTTGTCAAACAATCCACGGCTGGAAAAGAATAAACACATATTACCTTACTGGGCTTCAAGATGCCAGGTCCTCCACCTCCACCGCCTCCCCCTCCGCCTCCTCCTCCAGGGCCAGGCATGGGAGGGCCTCCTCCGCCGCCTCCTCTTCCTGGAGACTCGCTCCCGCCAGGACCTCCAAAAGCGATCCCAAAAGGTCGAGTACGTATGCCCAAGCCTCCAACAACTGGACTATATTGGATACTATGATCCGGGGGTATGCTAAATGAAAGAATGGACTTGGGCTGACATGGCTTACAGGATGCTTTACTATCCGATATAACAAAGGGAGCCAAACTGAAGAAGGCCGTTACTAATGACCGTTCAGCGCCAATGATAGCATCAAAGGCAGGCAGCGGAAGTGGCCCTGTGGCTGGCGCGCCACCAATCCCGGGAATGAGAGCACCAAGCGGTCTGGCACCGCCAGTGCCGAGCGGAAACCGAGCACGAAGTAATAGTGATACGGGAGGAGATACTACGGGCGGCATGGGAATGGGAGGTGCTCCGCAGCTGGGTGGTTTGTTCGCAGGTGGAATGCCTAAATTGAAGAAGACGAGAGGCGGAATCGACACTGGTGCCGGTCATGATGGTGCTCATTCGGACTCAGAAACCAGCCATCAACCATCCGCTCCTCGTCCTCCTACCAACGCAGCACCTCCTCCGCCTTCAATAAAGGCTCCTCCCATTCCTGGGTTCAGACCGCCTCTTCCACAATCTACAGACTCGGCTCCGGCTGTCCCCAGCCCCCTGGCCCATCTCAAAAAACCGCCTCCTAAACCTCTTTCAAAGCCGTCGTCTGCGGTCAATCTGACAATCGGAAAGCCTCCACCTCCTCCCCCAGCATCAAGAAAAGTGAGCACATCGGGGCCACCTCCTGCTCCTCCGCCTCCTCCACCTTCATCTTCAAGTCCAGCTCCTCAGGCGCCACCACCTCCTCCGCCTCCGCCGCCAGCAACAAGCTCTGCTCCTCCAGCACCTCCTCCGCCGCCGCCTCTGACATCCAGCCCTGCTCCTCCCGCTCCTCCTCCACCGCCTCCACCTGTTCTCTCATCAAGCACTACTCATCCGCCACTACCTTCAAGCGCAAGTCCGGCGCCCCCGACGCCTCCACCTCCACCTCCGCCTCCAAGCAGTGCGCCTCCTTTCTCAGCACCGCCTCCGCCACCGTTGCCGTCTTCTACGGCACCAGAACCACCTTCCAGGTCAACGCCGCCTCCACCACCTCCTGGACCTCCACCGCCGCCGAGTTCGCATCCAAAAACGAATGGTGTCGGTTCTTCTTTTGCTATGCAGGCTGCAAGTGCCGCTTTTGGTAGACAACCATCATATGGAGCTTCAGAAGCTCCTCCTTCACCATCCTCACCGGTTTCACCGGCACCGTCTAGACCAGTATCACAACTTCCCTCGAGGTCAACCTTAGATGCAAGTTCTTATACTCTAACAAATGGAAGCTCGGTCGGTTCATTGGGGCGATCAGGGCCCATCAAGATCGAGGACAATCGATGGAAATTCCAGGACGAATCGCAACTACCGCCCCCTCGACAATTCACGGGGGTACCTAAAAGATATCGAGCAGGAAGAGGGAGTAGTGTCCCGCTTGATCTTGCAAGCTTGGAATGAAAGAGCCTACAAGCAAACGGGTATATTGTTTATATCAAAAGGCAGAACCACACCTTCTCGCTCCTGCGTTTCTGCTTGGGGTCACACTGGGCCGAAAGGAGCATTACAGGAGCCGTTGAGCGATATACCACGATCGATCACAGTTTCAGGAGCCTTCATTGTCACAGAACGATCCATTGAACGCGTGATCGGCGGAAAGCTCACAGGGAGCCCATGTTGAGCCATGATCTAACAACGATCCTTCAATGCTAAGACACAAGATCCGGGATTTCGGAATATTGGTTATATGATGAAGCCAGGAGCCGCTTTCAGACATGGTATAGGATACCCGGTGCTGGAAGGCTTGAGCGCCTTGCGTCGTCACTAAGTATGAACCAGAAACACCAGCAAAGTGTATATGCCGGTAGAGAAAGGGTGCAGGTACAATGCCTGGCACCTCCGAGCAAGACAAGTCGGCGAGAAGGATCTTCAAATGCAACTGAATGGTCAACCTATCCTTCAAGTAATCCATGTGGTTCTTCCTTTCCCTTCGCTGGCGTGGAGACACCGCCAGCGTCAAAGTAGACCAATTTCCACCTGTTCTATTGGTACGTATGGTGCTTCACTTCTCTTTTACTTCACTTGATCCCTACGCATGGTATCTCGTCTCAAGTCAACAGTTACACGTGCGGATCCAGTCCCCCTACTGATTTATAAATACCTGTCTCTTCTCCCCCTTCTTCCCCGGTTCTTTCTTCCACTCCTGCCCATCTTCTTCCAGTCCCAAAGAACAACTCGGATCTCCCCCTCAACCTCGTAACCCTGCTTACAAGGGTAGCTCTCGAGTTGAGTGAGTACTCTTCCCTCCTGGCCTTAGCACCCGGATATTCTAAAGTTCTCGCACTAACCGATCTCACCAGCTCTACTCCCCGTTCGAAACCCTTTTCTCACCTCCGACGCAACAGCATACCTTTAGCAGCCGAACTCAATCAAGAAATTCCTTCAAAATGCCTATGGTCTGGAACGCCGAGGCCGATGCGAGGGTACGTCTTTCTCCTCACCTGTTGTCTCTCCTCCGTGGCTTGGTGGTTCATGCTCGCTCATTTTTTTGTGCTCTACTCTCGTCATGTTCCTTTCATGATCACATCGTTTAGATGGAGCTTGATCTGACTTTGTGTACATAGCTCTTCGCAGCGGTCATCGCTACATCAGATGTCAAAGTCAACTATGCGGCTGTTGCAGAGAAAATGGGCCCAGGTATGTGCAGCTTTTTTCTCAAGTCATGCACTCCCTCGATGAAAAGATGCCAACACCACTCCATATCTTCTCCCACAAATCATCTGCGGAAACACCTTCTGACTGACTGGCATTGTCCGCGTGTGAGTTCTAGACTGCACTGCCAAAGCAATCATCCATCGAGTAGGAAAAATCAAGGAACTGGCTCGCAAGCTTGACGACGAGGACGGAGACAGTACTGCCACAACACCTCTCAAAACAACCCCGAAGCGGCGTGGAAGGCCCTCTGGCAAAGGACTTGCCGTTGCAGCCAATGACGACGATGATGGTGCTGAAGATAGTCCGACTGCCAAAAAGCGCAAAATGCCAGCCACTCCAAGAGGGAAAGTCCAAGCTCCGTCTGGAATCAAGAAAGAACAAATTGAGGAGAAGCCAGTGTTCAAAGTCAAAAAGGCCGAAGATAGCGACTAAGACCATAGAAAGCAACGTTGTCTCTGGAATCCAGGAATCAAAGCGATCTGAATAATGGCGGGATGGGACTTAATACCTGCACACAGGAATCGCAGAAACGGACGGGGATTTCAGTGGCTCTGGAGAAGAAAACGGACCTTGCTTTTGGTCTTTTGTTCATAGGAGACATGGTGTGGTGACATGACATACAGGATAGCTTGCGCTTGCCCATTTGGCTGCTTTGACATACAGCACCTGGCTTAGATGATGAGCATAAACACTGTGACACCGTGTGATTAGATCCGATCCTCAAACGGGACTGTCAGCCAAACTTGAACCCCGACAAGGCTGAGGAAGCGAAAGCACACGTTTAAAGCAGCGTCAGCCCTACCTACCATTTGTACGTCCAGCACTGCCAGTAACAGCCCTGCAGTGTAGCGGATCACGTGCAGTGCAATACTGCCATGCCAAGCCCTCAGCACCGCTTTCACAGCGCCTACAAATACATCCACGCCGCATCCTCGCTTTCTCTTCTCTTCTTTTTTCTTTTTCCTTTCTTCATCATCAGTAGAGGTGTTACATTACCTATGTAATATCTTACCGGAGCTCCACTACGGTGGCTTGCTGAGGGTCATCCCTGTTCTACATGGATTTCCTTCCGTTCCCGGCTTCGCAGAGAAGATCCCCAGTCACCGTCCTTTTTCCCAAATCATATCATGGCTGCGCGCCGCTCGATGGCGTGGAGCTGTGGAGGAGATGATACATGACAACTTCAAAATGAAACCATGAAAAAACAGGAAACCATTGAAAACATCGTGATCGGCGTTCCCGTGGGCGAGCGAAAGAAAAGAAAATATGAAATCCTGACACCGCCATGAGGAGAAGGAGGGAAAACACCTGCTCATACTTGAATTTTGTTTGATGGGGAGATCATGGATGTTGCATCGTTGGGTGCAGTGTTAAAAGCTGTTGTCAAGAGATGAAAATTGATCTGTGACTCCAGGTTTGGCAGCTGCCGGCCGGTTGAGATATGTTATGCAGTGGTCCAAAATAAATCTGTTCGCTTGGTTTTGTTCGATGTTATATCCAAATCGTTCAACATCCAAATTGTAAAAAGGTGATTCCAACAAAGTCCCTTCGTGCACATTCCCTGCAAACCTATCGCTTTCGCTTCAACATGCTTGTTGGTAAGGCATGGTTGATCATACTTCTTTCAGTATTACTACCCATGCATCTGTCTTTCTACATTTGAAGATTTCATACCTCAGTTTATCGATCTTGCGTGCACCCTGCGCCGTTGATATGCTCGAAACCGAGTCTTTTTATTCTAGTCGTCTCTCTCGCTCATGTCACTGCTTCAAGTTGCGCGTGAGGAGAGAACACCCTCAGTCCCTTCGTAGCAGATAACAAGGCTCAACTTTCCCTCCTACATCAACCGCCCTGCTCGCCCGACCTGGATTCTCTCCCCCGTAGCCTTCTCATCACTCCTCAAAGTCGCCCAACTCGTCCCATCCTTCTTGGCCAACTCCAACTCCAACTTCGTCCCCATGATCCTAAACGTCGACTTCTCCGGATCGATAGGCGCGAACAACGGAATCGTACTCTTGAACCGCTTATGATCACTCGTCGGCAAATCCAAGTCAATCTCAAGCCCATTCCCCCTGAACTCGACTTTTGCCCGCTCCTTGACGATTTTCTTCAAGTAGAAACTCGCAATGACGCTCGTGGGCGTCTGGTAGAAATCGTTGCGCACAGTAGACAGCAACTCTTCTTCTTCACCTCCTCCATTTCCATTAACAACACCATTCGCTCCCGCACCCTTCTTGTCATCCCTTTTCTTTCCGATATAACAATGTCTCTTCCGTCGCTTACACCCTTGAATCTTGAGAAACTCGTCAAATTCCAATACCCGCCTTTTGCAACATGTCCATCCTTTACTGCCTTCGTGGAAAATAGGCACGCCAGGATGGTACACGCATTCTTCCTCGTCGCGGGGGATGTTGGGGTCCCGACTCTTCCCGCACCCGCGTCGCTTGCATGTTGCGCCGGGTGGGATCGAGGCGTCGGCGTCTGGGTCGTCGGATTCTTCGGCTGGAGGTTCGGGCGGCTGTTTGGGCTGTTGAGGTTGCGGCTGTTGCTGTTGTTGTAAAGGCTTGATGGTCGGCACGGGTACGGGTGTGGCAGTAGGTTGGTCCTTGGGCTGTGCAGGCGCAGGTACAGGTGTGTCGTCCACCGTCGAGTGTTTGCCCTTGGTGCATGGCGGGATCGCGAGGAACTCGTCAAATGTCAGGACGCGCGGTTTGCAACATTTCCAGCCTGCTCCGCATGTAAATCAGTATTAGTTCCCTTCCCAAACTTTTTGTCGAGGGTCGTATGATCTGCCCCGACACGGCCGAAGATGTTGACTAGCAAGTTATAGTCACGTACGCACCTTTTTGTCCTTCGTGGAATTCCGGCGGCCCAGGATGGTATACGCATTCTTCATCTGGGTCGGTGAACGTCTTGCCGCACCCTTTGTGTACGCATTTCTGTGCCATCCTGATGGTCTGTTTCGGACTGAGTATGTGGACTCAAGTTGAGGCGGTCCGAGAACCGAAAGTTGAAGGTTAGGTTGTCTGCGAGTGGTCGGAAATTGTCCTCCTACAACACTAAAGCATCGACTATTTGTACACGACTCTAACTATCACGCTTCTAGGATACAGCATTCCCCAGTTATACAAACGCGGAAGACTGCATTTCTGAGCCTTGGCAATTCCAGAACCATCTGACGCAATGGCGTTGAGACGCGGTGGGTAATTCGAAGATCCTCAGCCTTGCCGAGCCACGAGGCTGCGGAAAACAGACTTGAAACGGACCCTTATCAGGCTATCATTGCACACCTACAATATACCTTACTGTATCTACAACGTATAACGTCTCATCACACGGCTTTACAAGATATTTCATCGCCAGACCTTTGGAGTTGAGTCTTTCATATTGTGTTCCAAGCCTGAGGTGCAGCCATGCGGCCGTTATTCCTCGGCTGAAACAGATATCTATCTACACGACACATTCTGATTTCAGCATGAGAGTCTCTGACCAACCACACGCTTCATATATCCAACACGGTAATAGGAAACTACCACCATAGAAAATTCACCAACTCCCATGCCCGCCCAAGCTCCGTCAATGCTGCCTTGCGAGTTCCCCGAGAGACAAGTTTATGAAACCAAACACATCGGGATGAAAATTCTCAAGCTCTTCTTCGCTTTCGATCTCCGCCCGAACGAGGGGCTGCCAAGTCTCTGGCAGGACTCGGGCTCACGAAGCTAACATGTTTCTCTTCCCGCTCTTCGCCCTGTCGTCGGATGGCCGAAGGTCGTCTGACGTGGGAGGGAGGTCTAGCTGGTTGCGTGCAACCAGGCTGAAAATCGGATTCAGGCAGAACCGTCCGTGGATCGTCATCCTCGTCGCCTCGAATCTTGAAATCCACCTCGCCATCATCTTGTTCATCGGAAACCGAACTGCTCGAGGGCGAGTGTGCCTCGTATTCTTCGTCGTCGTCGACCAGACTCGGGGCTTGGTTCGACTCTGTCGTGGGGGACGGATCTGCAGGTTGCATTTCCGTCATAGTGGACTGGTTCAGTGGAAGTGTCATCCTCCTTGGACGATGTGGTCCGAGGTCATCGTCCGCGCCATCAAATTGTGGCAAAGGCCCACGACGTGTGTTCTCTGTTGACCTCAACATGCTGGTACTCAGCAAAGGCGAAGAAATGGGAGACATGGTGGATTTGTGAGGCTGCTTGGTCCCAGCAACTTGTGGATGCCGCCCTTGTGGCATGTTTGCCTGAGGAACATCATCCTCCATCGTCTCATCTTCCGAATCTGACTCTGGCATCTCCACCTTCTCTTTTGCATCCCGCACCATCCCTTCAAGGTCGTAGCCGAGCCCCTGGTTCTTAACCAGCTCCGAAAGATTTGGTGTCAAGACAGATCCTCTAAATTCCGGTGACACATCCTTGCGTTTGGTGGCTCGAGCAGTACCGGGTGAAGTGGACGGAGATCCTGAGGCCCGAGGCGGTGTAGGTTGCAACAATTTGGCAGACCGGACAAGCGGATGGACATTGCCAGTTGCAGGTGTAGCTGTAGGCTCAACACCGATCATTGCTCCACTGTCGTCAAGTTCAACTGGATCTCCACAGGCATCTGCCGCTGCATCATGGCTTGCGAAACTCCTACCATGTCCTATGCGACAATGATTGATGAAGCCCTGAGCACTTCCAAAGTCGTGTCTGCCACAGTCCGGGCAAACGAGCTTGACCATCCGCCCATCTGATTTCCGCTTCACAATCATGGGGCCTGTAGCCTTTTCCTTTGGCTGACCATATCCGGCCGGTAGAGATTTGAGTTTGCCGCTACGCTGACCACGAGAGCTAGTTGAATTCTGCGAAACATCCACCACGCTTCCTCTGGTTGACCGCGACTTCATGGGAGACTTGCCCGCTGGGAAGGTGGTTACAGGTTCGGGTTCACCACCATCGAATCGGTGACTCGGCAGGAGCCATTTCGCGTAATGTCGAGTGTAGGGACCATCGGTTACACCCCAAGGAGCAGGTGATGCTGGAAGGGGTGTAGGAAAGCTGCTGCGCAGGGCCGGCCCTATGCCATCACTGACGGCTAACGAGGGACCCTGGGTGCCTGGATATGGGATCTCTTTACACCGCCGGAGCTGCTCTAAGGACACCTGACACTTGGCAATTTCCTGGTCAATTAGCCGAAGCTCGTTGTGCTTGAGCACAATTTCCAAGCTGAGTTGAGTTTGAATCACATTCCGCATAGACTGTAAGCGTGCAGCTGCATCCTTCCCAGACTGTGTCATTTGACCAAGGTTATGGAAGTCGGAGTCTTCCGATTTGATCTCTGGAGGGGAGAACAGAAATGATGGAGGGTCATTTGCAATCGAAGAAGACGAAGAAGTAGCCGTCTTTTGAGCAGAGAACGGGGTTTGAGTGGAATCAAAGGACTGCGTGTCTGGGGTATCTTGGCTACCGGTTTTGGCACGTTTCCTTTCCGACCCTTGGTTTTCATGGTCGCTTGTTTGTTTGCGTTTAAGATTAGACGCCATGGTGATACCGCTGGAAACAAGTGACTCTTGTTTGGGGACAAACATCCTCATCTCAGCGGGATTGACCTTATCACATCCCGTCCACGACAGGAGGCGCAACATGTCGGAGCGCTCCTCAGAACAACGCAACACTGGAAGGTGCACGTTACCCTGTGGTTCATCTGGACCGCCAAGTCACCGAGAACTAAGGTTGCTGCCGCCGGCCATAAGTGTCCGTTCCTGAAGACAGGTATCCGAATGCCTCGTGACAAAGGACAATCTGTTCAGACGAGGCAAAAAGTGACAGTAGCCAGCTGCTGTGCAAGTACGCTCAAGCGCACACAATTTCCAGTCACTCTGCTCGGATATAACCTGGGGTGGCAAGATCAAACAGGCAGTGATTTTCGAGCGCGACCGATATTTTAGCGGTACAGGACGGTTGAGAATAAGGATGACAGTGGTTGAATATTACAAAGACTAGACTGTATAAAATGCGCGCAGCGCCAGATGAGCAGAAGGAGCGAAAAGCAAGCCCTGTAGAATAGGAATGTCGTTATCGAAGACAGCAGAGGACAGATGTCGGGTGTTGGCGCGGAATGAATGACGCAGAAGACGGGGATAAGCGGATCCCGGTGGTGGCCAATATACCGCGGAGGCAGGCGTCGACGTGGAGGGAGAGGATAGAGTGAAAGAAGAAGAATGAATAGTAACAACAAGGGAGGAATCTGAAGAAACGGCTGAAGAATTCGTCCAAGGCGACCAAACGGGAGAGACAAGAGTATGAAGTGGTACGAAGTATAGTGGTGGACGAGTATGATAGAGGGCAGTAGTAGTGAGAGTACAGGCAGGGAGAGGATAGAGTGCAGGTTGCAGGTCGGAAACGGGGGGAGGGAAGGAGGCGAAGAAGGAAGGGCGACCCAAGGCAGGAGCGACCGGCAACGGAAAGCAAGAGCAGGGGAGAGAAAGGAAGGAGGAAATCTGAAGGGAAAGGGTGAAAGGAGTGGTGCCCAGTGGCCAGTGGGCAGCAGCGAGAGGAGGCGCCCAAACACCCACTGCGCACTGGCACTGCAGCGCAGCGCCATCCACCGCAGTCCCAGGCATCCAGACACTGAGCTAATAGTGGAGCTTAAGCACATCAGCGAAGTCGCTGGCCACTCAGTGTCCCACATAATGTCCGCTATCTGCTGGTGCTGCAGGTTCCCCGCCAATCAAGCTGTTATACTTAGCAGTGAAGGAGTCACTAAGTCGATACACTACCTGATTTTAGGTAGTTGTTGGTGGGGGCCCAACACTCATCCGCGGATCCGCCATCCGCTCGCCGACTGGGTCACCTGATCCGAAGAATCAGCTGTCACGTGCAGATACTGGTCTGGCCGATAACTCACCGGTTTCTTATCATTGCCAGTAGAACTTTGAAGTACTCCCAGCGGAAAGGCCGGTGGGTATGTTCCAAGGTTGGCATACTAGTAAAGGCGCCTGTCCATGGTCGCAATCCCCGAAGGCGTCACTGGCAGGCAGTCATGCGCGATGCTTTCGATACTAATAACTGGGTGAGTACCGACGTACCTATGTAGGTATGTACCATGCTAAAATCAGTGCAACCTCCACAGTATGACTGTATCTATCTACCTACATATAAGCACGTTTGGATATAGCCTTGTGTAAAAGCAGCCGAAGGACGTTCTTTTGTTGATGACGCTTAAGCAGCCCAGAAGTCCATTGTTAATGAGGAATCTACTTCGCCTGAATGTGAGCGTGCGGTAGAAACCGGCTACCTATCCTGCTACGACTGTTGGACCGTCAGTCAATCTATGATTCAGCAACATATGCATGCAGCACTTTATCTCGCAGCGGGATGTCATGCCCTAAAACATCCGACATGCTACCCATGGCTAACCCACTTATTGGGGATCGTGGACTAAGAAATCATCCTCGCCCAGAAGCCATCAGACAGTCCGGGCAAAGAGTTCGCTGTTGCAAGCTACGTATCTGTGCAGCCGGGCTGAAAGACTCGGTCCTGTACGCTGGGTCAATGTGGCATTGGCGGTGGCTCACGACGTACTGCGTATAATGGTCGGACATCAAAAGACCATGACACCAGCATGGATATACCGGGGTAGCTTTTCAGTACTCCCACCTCATCTACCGAGGGGACTTTCTGATGGGATACATTGTCCCATTGTAGGACCTCCCGGCTTCGGAACCATCTAAAAATAATCCAAAGGCAATCATCTGGGGCTCATCAAAAGAGGTCATCCCTGTATGATGCTGGTGGCGAAGTGTCTATCTGGACTCCGGGTATCAAGAGAACGAGCGAGACCACTTCATGTCAGCTACTGCTATCAAACCGAACTATGGACATGGAGCTACGTCCTCGCCTGGGGACTTCCACCAACAGTATCATGAAAGACTCCTGCTGTCGAAGTCCTCTCGCTCCAAGTTCGCCACCAACAAGTGTCACGAGGGACAATAGGATAGAGCACAGCCGCACAGCCACAGAATGCAGCCATTCACGCCACAGCGTCAACATGTTCCCTGTTTTGATCAGCCGGCGCAGTCCTCCAGGGTGTCTCCCAGTCCCGAGCGAGACTCTGTTACAACGTCCATTCATATGCTCATATCACCCTCCTTCCATGTCCTTAGTCCGTCGACTACCCAATGCACCGTTGGACCCTGTTCCAGGAACGACCAGCAGTCGTTAGCTGCATCTCCAGGTTCCGTTCCAGAAGCATGCAGATCTACCATGGCAAGCATCGCAACTTGTTCCGTCTCTGCTCGCTTCGCTTTAGCGAACACAGCAGCCTCTCTCTGCCCGCCTGTTCTGCAAGACCCTGCAGGCAATGAGTTCAGAAAGACAGACAGGCGGTGATAATCCCCGTGTAGGTAAATAAGTTGGGTGGCCATCACTTGAGGCGCCGCTCCCCTCTTGTCTCTTTACTATCTTGATGATATTGATGCCTTCATTCTCTGGCATAATGCACTGTCTTTTCCCCGTCTTTCGTTTTGCATGATATGCGTTTATGCTAGTGGAACAATATACGAGAACGAGCCACACCAGCTCTCTAACAACGGCAGTCACAATGAAACCTGAGAAGTTATTGCTGCTTGCCCCTATCGGCGGGCTCATGGTTACGGCGCAACCAGATGCTCCTGATCCGCTGGAGGTCTTTGCGTCGGAAGCATTCTCGGTCTATACAGAAGCCACCTCAATCTTGGCCTCTGCGGCTTCGGTGGCTTCAGCAGTCATCGCGTCGGACTTGTCAGCCATCGATGCTTCGTCCACATCTTCCCAGATACAACCTACAAGTGCTGCCGATGTGTCAATATCGAGGTCGTCGGCCAGTTCAAAGACGGCTTCAATAACCTCCTCGGCTGCACGGTCGTCTCTCTTGTTGACCGCTACCTCCGAAGTCTCTCTCTTACTACATTCCCCGTCTTCCTCAGCCATATCCTCATCAAGCCTAACATCGCAAACTACCTCTGCCTCCCCGTCTCCCTCTTCGCTGCTGGGAACATCGTCGGTTCTGGGAGCCGCTGCTGAGTCAAGTGCTGCCGCAGCTGCCTCGAAATCGGGATCTGGGAATCATGGACATAAGTTGGCTATCATACTAGGCTGTGTTTTGGGTGCCCTTGCACTAGGGATGACCATTTTGACGGTCCTGATATGCCACAAAAGACGTCCTCATGGTCAGTCTCCACGTCACCGGGCTCTTTCGCCTGGCGACGACGAGGTTGAGGGTTGGAGACTAAATCGACCGTCTACACTTCTCAGTCAAGAAAGCATGGACACATTGCGTCGTGGGTCAGGTCTTCAAGGAGCGGCGCCTCTTATGTCCGAGCATCCAGCATTTCGCAATAGTGGAGAGCATGAGAATCCATTTGTGCCCATCATACCACCGCCGCGACGGACTGCGCCGAACTCGAGACCAGGTCTTACCGACGGAGTGGTGCCTGGGGACGACCCTTTCGTGATGAAAAAGGAAACGGCAGTCTCAGGGAGTTCCAAAAATCGAAGCGTGCACAATACGGCATATGCACCCAAACCGAAGACCGATTCACTTGCTGCTCGGCTTGCCGCTGCAGCAGCCAAAGAAGACCTGCTGCAGCAACAAAGGCATTCCGATTCTGATACGGACTCGGTGGCAAACGAAAAGTACACGGTGCAAGCTGAGCCGCAAACGAAAATCAACAGAAAGCCTGTCCCTGTCAGCCACGTCAACAACGGGGAGCGGTGGCCGTACTCGTCCGTCTCGCCCGTTTCACCTATCTCACCCACGGACTTCAGTGCCGAAACGACACTGCCTCCCGTTTGGGGAAGTTCTGAGCATCATCGAAGCTTCAGTCGTGATGCAGCCAGGGCGAATGCGGTGTTTGACCATGAATATAGTCCGCTCACTGGGCAGCATGATAATGAGGGCGAATCTTCTGACGATGCTACGGCGGCAGCAGCAGCAGCACCTCCAACTCAAGATGACCACCAAGGATGTTCGAGGAACAGCAGCCTCAGCAGTGCCAGCAACTATAGCAGCGACGACAGCACTGTACGCGCCCCAAGTCCGCTGCAGCCATCCCTTTTTTCAACCAGAGCAACGGCTGAACAGTCAACACCACCTGAGCGACAGAGCAGCATCTTTATCCCGAGCAATCCCTTTATCACACCTACTGGGAGTCCTGAACCAGGAGATGTTCCCACAACTGACGTTGCTCCGGTCATCGCTCCACAAGCGCCGCCAGCAGCAGCAGTAGCAGTAGCAGCAGCAACACAACCCTCCGCCCCAGCACAAGCGCCGGCACCACAGCCTCAACCTCAGCACCAAACCGCAAAACATCAAACATATCCTAAACCGGCGCCCCTACCACCCGCCCGCAGCAGTCGACGAACCAGCACACAAACAGCACCCTACACGTCCGTCGGCAGTGGCGCGGCGTCCTTCGCACAAATCAACCGCCCTGCCGTCCCGAGCCCTCTGTCCAGTGAACTACGGCGCGACGACAGTGGTGCCTCGGCGAGCGTACGGCCAGGCAGAGCCAGCGTCGCGGACAGCAAAAGTCTCATGACAACAATACAGAAGGCCAAAGGTGACAAACCTCGCGGCTACCGCAACAGTTACCACGCCACTCCCACTTCGGACTGGGACTCGTATTCTCGGTACCAGCCATATCCAGTTGATCTGGCCAATGTCCCGAACAGTCCTGACCAAGGGAGCGGTGGTGACCACGATTTTTATGTGCCCGAACTCGACGATCCAATATCAGCTACTTTTACCCCAAAGGGAAGACGACGACGCTCAAGCCCTACAAGTGCAGGTGCAGGCATTGTCGGCGACAGTCGGTATCCCAACTTGAGTCCAGCTATGCCGCCGCCCTCTAGAGATTGGGAAAAAGGCAGCACGGGTGGAAGTCATGACATGCCGCAATCACGGCGCTTTTCGTCAGGCTGGCATGAGGGTCAGAACAGAACCAAGATGTCAGACTACGGTCGAAGAAGATCAACTAGCACAGCAGACAGGAATCATGAACAATTCCAACCTTTGCACTTTGGTGGCAATGGCAACGCCAATACTGGCCGGAGACGGCTGAGACCGAGTATGGATTTCACGAGTATCCGGGAAGAACAATTCGACGACGACAACAACAGTCGGACGACGATGTACCCATCAGGACGCCAGGGAATGGATGTCGGACAGGCGCTTTGATGACTAGATGCAGGGCAGATAGAATCCTGCTTCTGAGGGAGTTTACGAAGGTCATGAAGGTTATATCATTAACTATACTACAGAACCTTATGTTACCTATATACCCACCACGCTGGACCTACGAAGGGCCCTACTGTTGAAAGCCATGAGGACGATGATTAATGCAGTCTGCAATGGATATTTGCGTCGATGACAGCGGTGTTGAAAAACCTGAAGTATTGAGTCTAGATTGATCGAATCGATCTTTCCGAGTTCCCTTGACGGATCTCTTCGTTGCACGCTGTAGAAGTTACAGTAGCTGTACAGACTACCTTGTACTTTGTGAAGTCCCCCTCGGGCATGCTGGCTCCATCTTCTTGAGCCCATTCATGGCAAGGTTTAGAGCAGTAGACCTTATCTCCTCGACTTGTTCAGTCTGTGGTCGGGGGACATGACAGGGTCTTCTGGTGGCGCTACAGTTGGTACTGTAAATACCTTGATAATGCTCATATGCGCGTGTAGTCCTTCCCTTTTCTGCTGTCCAAGTTTCCTCGAATATAAACTTTAAATGATACAGTACATTCCTACCTTACCTCATATCATCTAACCACACGAGGCAGCCAGAGTACTTGATTTATTACTACACCGAGTACTCATCACCTATCAAGTCACTATTTTAGACATTTTCATGGCTATGTCGCCATCCGAAGCCATTTGGAAACAAGGCATCTGTGCGCAAAACCACGCGCCATTTCAGTCATGGATACATAGTGACATACTACCGTACCCTATGTGTATGAAGGTGCGGTATCTAAAGTCTGCACCTGTCACAGAGAATCCTCTCTGTCGTCACTCCTGTAACTCCATGCAAGAAAATCAAGTAGAGGCAAGATCACGATGACCGCCCTCTGTTTCGGCACCATCATCCGCCGTGTCTGATCCGCCCTTGGAAGCATTTGACCCAAGGATACAGTTCAAGAAAGTCGTCGAGTGGCTTTATTACCCACAGCGTCCCCAAAGACAGTCACACTGGGTGCTATCGTAAATGACCCGGGGAAAAAGAGCCTGCTTCAAGGGTAGACGAGGAGAAATAACTCGCTTTCTTGCATCCTCGCTTTGTATCGCCCTAGCTGCGATGATAATCTCAATTGGTTGATGATCTATGCCAATGCAAATTCCTTTCCTATGGCAACTCTCAGTTCAGTAACCGGACCATATCAGAAGGTATCCTTCCTGAGGGAGAGACGGTTGTCGGCTTGGCCCAGTCTTCGCCTAGAGAAGGTGGCGTCTGCGGCACAGGGGTGCCTTCGACACTCGAGTATTCGGATTTCGGGGGCGGAATGACAGTCTCGTTCGAATCGCGTCGAGGCGACAATGGCTCCGGCAGAGACTTTTTGTATGCCACTGGATCTGAAGCGACGGCTTTCGTGATTCGCCCCGTGATAAGAGCCTGGGAGCGTGGTTTTCCTTGTGCCCTGATCTTGGTGACTTTCGCCGCCTTGTTGAGCGAGGTCTTGGACTTGGTGGATTTGCTCTTGTTCTCTTTCCCCAGAACATCCGCGATGGATCTTCCAGAACTTGCGGCGTTCTTCACCTGTGCGCTCTCCTTGCTCCTGTCGCCTACCGTCAATCTTATTCTGACGGGTGTGGAACCGGAAGATTGCTTTGTCGCAGATTTCTTCTGCTCGTCTCCGTTCTGACTGTGTGGCGGAGTCATGGTGTGCAGCACAGCTGCAGGTAACAACCGTTGGGACGACTTGGCTTCTTGATTTTCCGGTTTCGGTATGACCACTTTGATCTCTCCTTGACTCGATTTGACTTTCTCCAGATCCGCTTCAGTGTACGGCTCGGCCACATCGGCGCTGGTGTCGTCCCATTCTTTCAAGCCTGCTAATTGAGCCACTTCATCGCAGTCTCCCTTGACAATCAAATCCCAGCAGTTTTCCAGGTCTTTGCCCGGGGGAACCGGGTCGCGGTTGATCCATATCGTCGTACCTTCCCGCCTGTCTCTGACAATCTGACACATCTCGTGGACAATCCGTCGCACGGCTGGAATCTTCATGCTGGTTCCAACTACAATTACAGCATCCGGTCTCGTTCGAAAGTCAGCTCTGGTAACAGCGCCAATGGCCTCGCTGTCAGGATTATGTTCGTTGTAGAGAACGATTCTTGGTCGCAATCGCCCAACGCCGTGGCTTCGCTTCCCTGCATGCGTGGTTCTTAGCGTATCGGCCGCAACACATTGTGGACATAATGGGGGGTTTGGACCGTCGAAAAGGTGTGCTTGGAAGTCGGAAATGTGTCTACATTTTTGGCACATCATCTTTTCCAGGCCTCCATGTAATTGAATAGTCTGCGGCCATGGCGCTTTATGACTGAGGGGTACTTGCGTGGCCAGAGGAGGAAGAGAGCTTTCCAGACCGTCGACATTCTGAGTGTACAGGCGCAACAAACGTCCCTCAACCGAAAGCCTCGCAAGGAAACGGTGGAAAAGCGAAGGCTTGGCGTTTTCGGCCATCTTCGAAAGCTTGCGCACCATGTCGTGGAAATTGGACGTAGAATGATCATCTTTGTAGACAGAGGCATCGAAGAGCATTTTGCCAGAACTCTTCAGTTTGTGCTCACCCCTGAGGCTTTTAAAAAGTCCATGCGATGACCTGAAATCGGGGATGCCTGCTGAAACAGAAATGCCGGCCCCTGCAATAACCACAATCTTCCTCCTGTTGCGCAAAGCTTTGAGGAGAGTGTCTAAAGCTTCTGATCGGTCGTATTCAGACTGCGCAGTGTCCGAAGTAAGGTCTAAGTGCTGAGTTGTGCGCACTCTGGGCTCAATCTTCCTGCGCTTGCGAGCGGGAGGCATGTCGTCGCCTGCATGTTGCGACGGTGGGGGCGTAAGTGTGTGCCAGCTAGGAGGTAAAACTGGGGAGCTGGGAGGTGAACTCAAGGGAGAACTTGGAATCGAGCTCAGCGGGGAGGAGATGTCGGAAATGTCGTCGGCGTTCATGATTGCTGTGGTATCTCGTGGTGACTAGGCAGTCTATAGCATCTTTCGCGCGGTGTGGTTGAAGGAGAAGCTACTCTCGCAGCTGCTGTCAATTTCCTCTTGTTCAAGTTGAGAAGCGGTTCACTCTGCGGCTCAAGGACAAGGGAGCATTAGACTCGAGAGCGCAGCGCACTGGAGAATAGCGCAAAAGGGCAGTGGTAGTAGTGATGAAGAGAGGGAAGCACGAGCTCAAATTGAAGTGAGGCTGTACTAATTAGGCCAAATCGGCGAAAGCAGTGGGTGACAGGAAGAGTGGGAAGAACAGGTGATTGATTGACTTGAGTGGTGCAGTGCGAGGAATCGTCAGCGGCTGCGAGAACGGGAAGAAAGATGGAGCTGGAGACGAGGACGGAGGCTTCGGGCCTTGCAGAAGTCCCAGGAATCCCCCTGCAGTGCAGACACAGGCGGCCGACGCCCGGACGAGATGCATAAACAAAGCCAAAACAAAGCATTCGATTGGGAAAAGGACAATCCCAATCAAGCCATACAAGCCACACTTCAGTTTATTTTCACTGCTGCGAAAGCCCGAGGGGCCCCATCTCCTGCTTAATCATGGCAACCTGGAAACTAGAATAATGGCTTGAGCCGCCTGTGGATTCCGCGATATAGGCGCGCAGGGGTGCCCGAGGGCTTATTTTGGCCGCCTCTTGATGCCCGAAAGGTGCCTAAGGAGCCCGGTTCCTGTGCTCGGGTGCCCAACCAGCTCACGAGCCAAGCGGTCGACTGTCCTGCTTGCCACATCGGGGCGATTGATCCTACGCCCGCAGCTCAATCAACAATACAATGTAGCATTCCATGATGTGCTTCACCATCTACTACTGCCACTTCATTATCTTCAGGTCATCCTATCCTGTGTTGTTAACTTCGAGATCAACAGATCTGCTCTCTTTCCTGTCACCTCGTAAGCGTGCACGTCTTAGGGACGCTGTGAATAGCACTGTATAAAGCCACGGTTTGCTACCTAGGTATTCATTGCTGGACTCGGAGTGCAGTAGGGCCAGTGGTGGGATTCTGGAGCTGTTACCCCGGCTACAGGCGCACAGAGGCACCGAGTCGCAGTGCCAGTCACCTGCCAGGTGCCTCCCAGTGTGGCTTGACCATCTCATTCTCCCTCTGCCAAAGCCACTCTGCAAAATCCACCGAGCTTTTCACTTTGGCCATCGACGCCCAGTGCACCCCACAGCCCTTCTATACCAAAGCGGTCTTACTCACCATCATCCACATCTTTCAGCAGTATACGCAATATTATAGTATTGAGCATCACTTCGGCCTTACACATCGATCCGTGAATTCGCATCACTGCACACCGCTGGACGGAGTCTGCGCATCTTTATCCTGACCGGATCACTGCAGACAAGTCCCAAGTTCCAAGGCAATCGAGCGCTGAAAATGGAGGAAGCATAGTATGAATACTTGTTTGACGAGCAAGGATTGCCTCAAATGGACCATCCAGAAGACTTTGCTCCCGAGGCATTCTTCGATCAGAATCCCCTACAGCAGATCCAGCATATTGACCCTGCAACTGATCTCGGATCCGTCCCAAATGTCTCTCTACCACCAAATCTTGCTGTGATCGAGCAGTTACATCGTCGGTGGTATTCCGGCTGTTTGGAGAGAGTAGCCTGGTCACGGCTTGGGCACCTGGCCAGCATATCCGAGGATGGCTGCACAGTATATCTGGAATGTCTACTTTACGAGCACGATGCGAAGACATGGCGGCTGAACGAGAGACATGCACTGACCACCATTTTCGAGGATGCTGTGAGTCTAGCTTGGAGCTCGACTGGAGCAGAGTTAGCTGTGGTGGACATCAAAGGACGGGTCTGGGTTTATACTGCCTCCCATGTTGCCATCAATCGGTTGGTTTTGGGTCGAAGAGGAGACCTAGATGAGCCTGGTGAATCTTCTCAACCCATCGGGATGACATGGCTGAATCAGGATCGGCAAGATAGGCCCAAGAATGTCGTGGTGCTGGCCGCGAAGAATGACAGTCGCTGGGTCCATACCAATGCTCGCGCAAAACCCCTCGGACCCTACTGGCCTCGAGCTGTTGTGGTTGTTCATCGCAGTGGCTTACTGACCTTGTGCTTCCAGAGAGCAGATGGACAATATTCAAGGATCAACACTCATCTGTCGCCACATGACAACACGCTTTACACTCATGCCAGCTTTGCGCCCACTGTGGAAGGGAAGCTGCTGATTGCTTTGCATTCATTCAAGCACCAGATCTCGGTGCGCTTCCTATCCATTGACTGGACAGGAGTCAGACAATCTCCAGGGACACTACCCGTCCTTACTGTTGATTTCGTCTCTGCGAAGGTGGCATCACAGCCTACTGGCTCCGCCACCCTAGGTGATGTGTATGACCCTGATTCATGGCGTCTCACCCACGTGGAAGTGGTGCCGACATCAGACGTGGAGAAGGCGGTTCAGACACCACCAACAATCCTGGCAGTTGCTTCGGGTATTAATCGCGGAGTCAATATCACAGATCATGGCTATTTGGTCTCCAGCATGATAAAACGATGGACCGTGACTCTGGTGGAACAAAAGCTACATCCACTATTCGATCAACTGCCATCCAAGGGAACTAATAAGACAACATCGCCTCCAGTGTACACTTTCCAGCGTCAGCCGGACAAAGAGGAGCAGATTGTCACCAGAGTCCACCCTATGGAAGGACATGCAGCTCTCGTGGTGACGACCCAGGAAGGTCGCACTGACTTTTTGAACCCCGAAGACTTGTCTCCAGTCTCTTACGCCGCGTCGGTCACAGAAACTTCGTCTCTGGCACAAGCAGGGTTCATCTTTCCATTCGTCCCGAATGCGCCGTTCCCAGCGTTTTCGCCCAGTGCCTGCATCAGGGCTGACATCACTCCTGAGGGCAAAACCCAGATTGTGACGATGGAGCATACACTGGACCATGGCCAGGAGGCGCAACAGCCACTCGACCCCAACATCGACGTGGCAATCGCCGCTCTGAATCTTTCATTCGCCCGAGCATGCTGGACCAATGCGACGATAGATGATATACTGATGTGTGCTTTGCACAATATTCCAGCTTCATTCCGTCCCGTCATCGTTTCGAGTATGTACCGAGCTCTCTTCCGCGATAATGAATTTGTGAGCGAGCGGACCCAGGGGTCGGAGCTGGAACGAGTGTTCCACAAGCAAGTCATGGGCAGAGTCATGGCTTACCATGCTGGCCTTACCGCTTACTGCCCCCAATTACCAACCATTGCACCCACCGAGGGAAGGACCGGTTGGTCGCTGAGTGCTCAGTGGGCTTGGATGGCCAACAATATCCGCCACACCGCTACGCTATTATTCATGAACCTGAGAGACGTACAGAATCTGAATCTGGTCATGACGCAGGACTTCACCGACATGCTTTGCTCCAATCTCCGTTGGGGATTGTCGGTTGTTCGGTTTATCATCAGCACGATTCTGGAGGTGGGCGACCGAGAGACCAATCCTGATATGTTCGACAGCAAGGACATAGGAAGAGTTGGAGACACCAAGGGAGATGGTAGCCAGGGCTTGGTAGCCCTTCTGCTGAACATCCACTGTTCGCGCCAATTCCTGGTTGCGTTTGTGAGGGCCGTCAGAGCGTACGCTAAGAGCACGGAGCCAAAGTCGCAACATCACGTCCAAGTGTTGCAGTGCATTCAACAGCAAACCGTCAACAAAGGGATCACCTTCCCTGCCGTTGAGGCGCTTCTTGAGGCTCGATGGCCCTCGCCTGGTGACATTGAAGGGGATATCCCGGGCACGGCAGTCAGACAGCTTGACATGATGGCTACTGGCACCGTCCACCCGGCCTACGAGGGGACAATCAAGCTGATCCTGAACAAGTTGTTGAACAGCCCGGCCGGGCTCAGGGCGAAAAACCTCATTGACCGGCTGAAACTCTACACAGACCACGTCGATCTCGACTACGTGTTTCTAAATCGCCATGTACTTGGTCACCTGGAAGATCAGTCAAAAGAGACACCAGTCATTTATGACGTACATCGGAAGAGGCCTATATTGAAAGGCGGCCCTGACCCGAGTGGGACCGGTGTGTTGATGGTTCGGAGATGTGTTCGGTGTGGCAGTTTCAGTGAGGATATCAATGTCGCACTGAAAGAGTGGCCTAAACAAGTGGGCGGACTCCTGGCGAGATGTGTTTGTGATGGCCAATGGGTTCTTGAGGCCTGGAAAGGCGACGGCGAATGAATGAATGATGATAGTTGTCGCAAGCGCACAGCGACTTACGAACTCGACTCACAAAGTCTTTCAACAAGTTTGGTTAGGACTCCAATGCGGATGGCTCTTGACGAAGTATCGAAACAATAATTCCAGACATGAATCAACGTTGTTCTTTGAAGTTTTTGGTATTCGGGTTTTCCCTTGACCACTGTGTAGTGACCAGATGCGGTTTATTGCATTGTCATGTCCACATTTGCGTAGCTAGAAAGGACGCAAACTTGAGACGCTCCTAGCACAGAAGCTTATGACTGGGGAATCTTTTTCGAAATCATCTCCATTTCCCTAATCATGACTGCCATTGACCTGCCCACGTTGCACCCTCACGACTGCCGCTCCTCCATAAAGCCCATTATGTCAAACCTCTACTCGGCCTTGACGGCATATTTGCGCTGAGGGAAATGGATCTGTCGCTTCTTCTGCTTCTCGGTGATGCGGCTGGCGTCCTTCTTGCTCAATCGGCGACGGATGGCACGGGTCTGCTTGGGTCGGAGGTCGAGAGGAAGGTACTTCTTCTTCTGGTAGAACAGGCGGAGCTGGTGTCGCTGGTTGGCGTTGATGACTGTGAGGACGCGGGCAATGGATTTCCGAAGGTCGTGACTGTGACAGAAAGAATCAGCATGAGCTCTCCCTTTCCCCTATAGTGTCTTCTTTTTCTTCCATGCTCCAACAGGGTCGGTTCTTTCGGTCTAGACATGACATACATTCTGGTGAGTTTTGAAGAAGCGCCGCCGGCAATCTTTTGGACACGGAGTTGAAGCAGCTCGCTCTTGAGCTCGTCCAGCTGCTTCTTCAGGTCGTCTTTGCTCTTGCCCCAGAGTTGGCCGGGCTTGACTTTTGCGTTGGTCGACTATAAGACACATCACATTCCGTTAGTATTCTATTCTGGCTTGCCTGCGCTGCGGGTAGGAAGAAGGCTGAACTGCGTCACTTTTGACAACAGGGTTCGAATGGGAGAATCGCGTACCATGGTGACTGATTGGGGACCTTGTCGACGTCAAAAATCGTGGTTGGGGAGAGGGAGGTTGATGGTCGTGCGAGAGGAATGGCCGCTACTAGATCGATGTTGGCGACTTGCGCACTCGGTGTGGAATTTTTGGAAAGTGTGATGCGCCAAGATTCATGCACGTGATTGCGCTGCCTGCCATGGGCGGCCGCTTCCGGATTAGGCTTGGCGTATAAAGGACGGGACCGGTCGCCGGCCGTTTGGAGCCTTGTCAAGGTGGTTAGCGCAACTGGTGGGATCACAGGCATTGCTGTACAGTTCTAGGAGTGATGCAGGGGATGGATGGTTCGACCATTGTTTGAACTCGAGTCTCGGGATCAACAACGAAGAAGCCTTGCCGCATGAGCAGCATGGACATACACAACTGTATATCTCAATCTGAGCACTAGTCCGGCCAACACAGATCTTCTGGACATTCCCCCTTTATCTCGTCGACAATGACGAGCGGAGCAGGATGGGCGCAGTTGCGCCAGCAGATCAGGACTCTTGAAAGTCAAGTAGGTGCTGCTCTGCTCCGTGCTGGCAAAGCACCTCGCAGGCTCAATACTAAAACTGAACGTTCGCCAGACCGAGGCATTATTCCACACATATTCCCAGTATGCTTCGACTCCAAACCTCCCTCCCAAGCCGTCAGACGAAGAAAGGAGAAACGAGGCGGATATAGAAGAACTGCTACGAAAGGTAGGCTACAGGACCGCCCTGAGGGTGCATTCTTTCCGTGGATCAAGATAGTAACAGTAGACATAGCGCGATGCACTGGTGTCTCAACTCTCGCGACTCCTCGACTCGGAAAGTGCACTGAGCACTTCGACTCTCAAGCAAAACAATCTCACGCGTCATCGCGAACTCCTCAGCGAGCACCGTCAGGAACTACGACGACTGAAATCTTCCATCTCCGAAGCGCGCGATCGACAACACCTGCTGGCCAATGTTCGGTCTGACATCGATGCGTACAGGAGTTCCAACCCTGCCGAGGCAGAGGCCGAATACATGCTGCAAGAAAGAGCGAGGCTGGATCACAGCCACAGTGCCATCGATGGTGTATTGGCACAGGCGTATGCCATCAATGAGAACTTCGGCATCCAGCGTGAGACTCTGGCCAGTATCAACCGCCGCATCACCTCCGCGGCAGCCCAAATCCCGGGTGTCAATGGGCTGATCGCAAGAATTGGCTCCAAGAGGAGGAGGGACGGGATTATCTTGGGCTCCTTTATTGCTTTCTGTTTCCTTATGCTGCTGTACTTCAGCTAGCGCTGATACTGAACTCGAATGTGGCCCGAGGCATCTCTTGCCTGTGGAGGGTTCCTCATCGACAGACTCCGTCCGAGGTTGCTATGGTGCAGGAGATGAAGGACATCATTCACAGGCCAGCTGCTACGATACCAATTGTCAGCCTGATTTATTCCTCACGGCAACTACGATCCCAAGCGAACGAGGCGACCTAAAGCGAAGTCGACTCTCAGCCGGCTATGTTGAAATCATCCATGTCATTTCAAAGGATGCTCAAGGGCTGTTTGTGTGGTTCCACGCCCACGTACCTAGGCTGAACGCCTTGACTCTCTTCGAGGAGAAAGGGGTGATTGTTTGCCTGGCGTGCTGAAGTCATCATACAATTGCGCGGTTACCTACACTCGAGACGAAGGCGCCAGCGGATCCTTTGAGCTTTCATCATTGTTTGCTCCGGAACGTCGGCTTGGAGGCCACTTTGTTGTTTTCGCACCCTGATGGGGCGTGGTGTTGGCGAGGTCAATCCGTAACATTTTTCATTATTTAACGGCACTGCTCGTTCGGCTGCGGTCTTGAGCTTCGACGGAGGACAGCTCGGCCTGGAAACAACGACCCAGGCGTGGTACGGCGGACAGTCTCTGGGAACTCAGACTCCGCTGATTGTCACCACAACCTCCATGTCAATAGAGACGATCTGCTCATAAGCGCTATCCCAGTCAATAAGGCTAGCCCTCCAATTCGATTAGTTGGGATGACCTTCGGCAAGTCACTTCAGGGGGCTCACACCTCGCCTCCTTGGTTTGGCTCCCCTGTCTCGACTCTCTTTCGTGGCGAACGCAGAGTATCATCGGAGTATCATTCTGTATCGACTACGAGCCCGAGAGCGATGACATGCTGGCAAGGGGTCGCTTACACTTGGCTTGGTGGTGACAACAGGGCTGTGGCAGCTCTCTTTGCATAAGATCTGGTATGAATCTTCCATTTGAAGGGGCAATGGAATGATATTTCTGCACGCAATACCCGGTGCAGTTCCAAATCCAACCCGATACTTATCCGCTTCTCTCTTTCTCTGGTCGCGAAGCATCCTTGGGTTGCTCTTTTCATGGTTTACATTGAGGAAGAAGAGGTCCTATCACTACTAATGGTCACAACTACAAGTATGTACATGTACCGCTTGCCCACAACCCCTCCTAGCCCTGCATTGCACCCAGACAATAGATATGCATGAAACAGGACCCTGAACGATGTGCATGGGTAGGCTGAGGTCCTCTGTACAGGTATGCTATGTGTTTCCACAGCAATGTTCCAGACCGGCTTTTTCGGAACGAAGAGCACTGGTACGGCAAGTACTAGACTTAGTTCGTACAATTGTAGGATACTAGTAGATAGTGAAAGGAGTGTCGTAAAAGCCAAGCAGCCAAAAAAAGGCGAACCAAAAAAAATGCCTCTCTTTGTCGGAGTCCAAGTCTGAGGAGACTCTTTTCCATCCATAAGGCTTGACGTCCAGAAAGACCAATAGGATACCGCGAAATAATGCTTGATTCGGTTTATAGTGCATGACTAGCTGCTAGTATACACATCGGCAGTAGTCGACCGCGCACCAATTCAGGCTATATGATTTCCAAGCTGCATTGGCGGTGGCAGTAGTGATGAGAGTGTATCACCACCACTGCTATCATCTGCCGTGTCATGGCATTCTGGGCATGATGTATTCGGGCTTTTCAAAATTATGGGGAAGCATGCATGGCCACCACCACTTGGTACTGTTACTTCTGTTTTCACCTGGCCTGGGCAATAATGACTTCAACGTCACTGCAGTCTCGCATGCTAGTTGAATGCCCAGCCTGCGTCTATAGTGTTTGCTCGGCGTCTTTATGATTTTTTCGTGCCATGCCATGCCATGCGTCATTTATTTTTTTTTTGGTTTGTACACTACACTACAACATTGTACACTACTGCAGTAGTAAAGTACTGATGTGTTGTATTGCACATCGTTGTTGAAAAAAGAGTGTGGTGACTACCCGCCTACTATATACGGGCGGCAAGGCACTGGGGCACAAAGACAGATTTTCCCGGGCACTTTCGTCCAATTTGATCCAACACTACAAACGCCTGGATACGCAGGCATTTCCGGGCTGCAAGCGGCGAAACAAACACTGCTGGACGATACAAACGAAGCACGATTAATTACCTTAGTGGAGTTCAAGTTCATCAAACACTGCAGTTGGCGCTCAGCCATTACATTCGGCCAAACACCCACGACTCTGGATTTGGACAAAGAAGCAACGACAAAGGAACGGACGGAATTTCGGCTTCGCGAATGCTTTGTTGAGTGGCAAACAAGCAGATCAAACCGGTTGGGCTTTTTGGGGCTTGTCCCCGGTGCCACTGCAGCTGATGCACCAGCACTGCTAGCAAACAGTAGCGGTACCTTATTCATAAGGCGTTAGGCCTTGAACCATATCCGTTCGCAGTATCTCGCAATACCCAGAGGAGATCCAACCCAACTTTCCAAGCCACCCCATTCAAGGACGACATAGGCAGTTCTTCTAGAGAGGAAGGAACAGCGCCGTCGATTGGGGTCTGCCATTGGCACTGACCAAGGGCCCGTGTCTGCGAGCGTATCTTTGCCAGTCGAGCCGAGCAAGAAAGGATATTTCCTCGCCATCGATCCCTGTACCCGACCCCTGGACCTCGAACCCAAGCCATTGTCACACAGCAGATCCCTGCCATTCCCGCCCTGATGTGTATCTATTACACGTACCACTGGAGCTGCTGTCCAGGAACGGCTCGGCCGGCTCCATACTATGTGCATTCCATGTGCGACCAGGCGACGCAACACAAATCGTCAGCAAAAAGTGCTGCAAAGAGCAGAACAGAACGGGCGGCTTCAGCGTTGCCAACGAAGAAATGCAAGATCGTGCACGATATTCTCGATGGATCAGAATCCGACCAGCCATGTCCGAAATGCGGGTGAGTATCCCTTCTCTTGATTCCGACACTGGCCGGACTGCTAACTTGTGACATCCAGTGCAAAACCGGAGAATTGTGACCAATAGGCCTTGTTGACATGATCATATTCCGGTTCAATGTTGGTCTTTGATTGGCGAGCTATGGTGTTGCGGCAAATGTATGGTTAGACTGAAAGATCGCGGTCCAGGCGTTAAAGGGTTCCAGAATGGAGTTGCTTTGCTTAAGCAGTAGTTGCTGCTGTTCGGTGTTTTGGCGCAACGGAGCTTGTGAGGGCTGGCGAAGATTGTAGAGCGTTTTCTTCCTGAACCAGTCTCTGCAAAGCTGAATTGAGACCATCCACTTCTCCTTCCCATGCATGGCCACTTCCAGCCCACCTGATCTTGCAGCTGGAGTCGACCAGGTAGACGTAGCCAACTTGGGAGTTGAGCAGTCCCATTGCGTCGCGGACATCGTCTGTCAAACCACGTCGGATATCACGAGGCAGTTTGATCATGAAGTATCGGTTCCAGCGCTCTTCCGGCACCAGCTTTCGTAGACGGCTACTGAACAGCTTGACCAAAAAGGACCTGGCCGAATCACCCTGCATGTTGATGTCCACTCTCTGGACCAGTCCATTGCTCTCTTCAATGATCTCCTTCAGCCGCGGATTGTGTTTCTCGCTGATGAAAGTGTCTACCTGCTCCTCCGCCCACTGTCCTGACTGTATGCCGATTATGGAGATCTTGCCCATTAGGATTGGCGTGGTATCTCTTCCACCATCCGGTCCGTCCCCATCCTTTGACAGCGTCTGCCCCCAAATGTTGGGGAAATATAGTGCCTTGTCCCTCTTGAACAGTCTAGGATTGGAAACGAAGCTCTTTCCTTTCCAGTGGTCAACACGCCGCCATTCCTGAAAGTACGGACGGAAAAAAGACCGCAGGTATACCCGCCGGCGCTCCAGGGCTTTCTCGTAGCTGGTGAAGTCCGCCTTCCGTTCTTGGATCGTGCGTCGGTCGATCGGACTGTTTTGACCCGGTCGAGGAGGATAGGTAAGGCCTAGAGGTCGGGCTAGAACAGACGGCGTGAATTTCTCGCCTTTCTCTCCCTTGGGGATAGGTATTCGCGATATGGCGGAGAGACCCTCTGGATTTCGGTCCAGGCCTACATGAAGAGGGATCGACGGTTTCGAGCCATCGGATCCAGGTTTGGACAAGGTAGGGGGTTTCGGAGGAGGTGTTGTGGTGGAGGCATGGCGGATGGTTTGTAGGGACAACCTTTGCGCCCGATACATACAACGACTGTGAGGGCGGACTGCGAGTGAGACAAATATGTCAAGCAGCTCCCTACGAGCCATATTTGAACGGCCAGCAATGTTAGCCGTTGTACACCAGTCTCCTATAATTAATCCAGGAACTTGAACTGAGCCGTTGCGAAGCCTGAGGTGCTCCGTCGTATACAAAATAGGTCGGAGGCCAGGTACATCATGGTCAATTGTCCTATAAAAGTTGTCCTTGGCAGCACAAGCAATTGGATGGTCGAACTGCTCCGAGCTCTCGGCACGGTCGCGCAGACGGTGCCGCTTTAAGAACAAATGCTCGCGACCCACAGTGTTCCTCTTCTCACTTTTCTTCTTCTCACCCTTCTACTCACGCTCTCATGCACCCTCGCAGCGACGATCTAAATCAAATTGTAATTTCTACTGCAGTTTCTCTAGTACGCCTCGTCCCAAAATAAGTTTTATAATCAACGACAACCAGAGGGACTTTATTTTTAAACTTCTACATAGAGATCTTAACTTACGAACTTCAAATAGGCTGTTCACGAGAAAGACAGGTAGGTCCTCTCCTCGTGGCAACCGTTCGCCCCAACAGGACAAGTGCCAAAGATGGATATGCTACCTACTCAACAATGACACGTTGTTTTCTCACGATCTATCATGTTTTCAGCATAACCGTGCCAAGGACCTCGTCAGGGGGACCCACCCCTCCTTCCGAGTTTGGCGGCCGCGTTTACGCGGCGCCACACTTGCTCTACGAGCAAGTGCCTATCGGTAACTACGTTAGGTCACCAAGTACGTCGCGTTTTTATAGATATTATAGATATTCTAGAAATCCTTAATTTTTTATAAATATAACGCGTTTTTTATACCGTAAATTTATCGAATACGCCGTAAAGATAGAGGACGACCGCTCGTAACGCGTAAAAGACGCTATAGAATAGGTTCTAGCCTATCCTAGCGCCTTAATATCTAAAGTCGCGCGTAAATTCGATATACCGAGAACGACGTTATCGGGTCGACTAAAAGGAGTACGAGATATCGAGAATAACGGCGGCTATAATAAAGCGCTCTCGAACGCGTAGAAACTCGCTCTCTATTAAGTAATTAATAGGCTCTATCGATACGGTATTTCTACGAAGCCGCGAATAGTTAGATCGATTAGTACGTAGGATATTCTTAATAAGTCGCGTACTAAGATCGATACTAAAGTTTATAGACTAGGAGATAGATAGTAATATCGATTCCTTTAGCGTTATTCTAAGTATACTATAAAGATAGATCGACCTCTTACCGTCGAGCGTAGGCGCGTATACGATTCTAAAACCCTAAGAGACTAGTTTCGTAAGTTAGTAGATATACGAGTCGAATACGATATTCTAGACTATAATATATATAACGTCGATTAAATAGGATTTAGAATAGACTACGGTAAATTATATAAAATCGTCGCTAGAGAAGACGAATACGTACGGCTTTTCGTACCTAGCCCTAATAATTAGAAGACGTTAATATTAACTAAGTATATCTATAGTAACGGTACTATAATTTAACCCTAGATTATTATATAGGCGGCGACTAGGCTGCGCAACGGGTTGGGTAGGGTAGGGTTTGGGGCACCTACCGCCCGCCCAGTTAACCCAATAGGGTTTTTAAAAAAAGCGCTACCCTACCCTCACGGGTTTTGGGTAGGGTAGGGTACCCGACGGGTTTTACCAAGAACCCCAAAACCTGATTATTAATCAAGATCTTCGTAATATATTATACTCCGTAATAAAGCAATATAGCGTATAATAACTTATTATAAGTATTATTATAATAATCACTTACTAATCTTACTAATCTATCATCTACTAATCGTAATACGAGGATAGATATATAAGGAAACAAGCATATGCATTTAGGCTGCGCAGTGGCGCGGGTCAACCCGACCCTACCCGCGTTAGGGCTACCCTAAGGGTTAGGCCGGGTAGGCACTCTATAACCTAACGGGTACCGCGAGCGGGTTTCTAAAATTTAAGCCCTACTCGTAGTATCTATTTAGGCCGAGTAGCCTATTTAGGTAGGTAGTTTAATAGAAAAATACCGATAATATTATAGCTTAATATATATAGAAAAGTAATAGCTTATACGCTAACTAGAAAACATACTAGTATAAGAGAAACCTATTCTATAGATAGAATTAATATAGTAATTATTATTATACTCTAGTTACTATCTTCTCGAAATAGTACGAAAATATAAATATAAGCTATTATAGGGAAATACGGTT